GGGGGGGGGGGGGGGGGGGGGGGGGGGGGGGGGGGGGGGGGGGGTGTAATTCAGAGCCGGGCGTGTCAGTTCATCGCAACAAGCCTGTGCAAATTGTTTCGACGACATCATTACCGGCCTCGTCGAACTGCCGACCTTGCCTATGGTATCCAAGTTCCCACGAAGAATAACGCGGGAAGGGGGAGTGATGGATGGTTTATCTTTGCGGCTTTATATCTTTGCATCTACTGTCGGAGAAACTGGACATTGACGCCGATGTGGGGTGGATCACCGACCCTACGACCCTACCAGCTTACCTGGCCAGCTTGATCGCGGCCATGATGACGTCGTTGGGCGTCTCGGCCGCGTTGGTGGACACGATGGTGATGGCGGCGGAGATGAGGTTCTCGTCCACCGTGCCGTCTTTGGCGCAGGCTCGGTCTACCGAGTGCGCGACCTCGATCAGCCTCCGTTGCTGCGGACGTGCGGTCGCGCGAGCACGGCAACACGGACGGGAAAAGAGTCTATGAGGTTGTGCAAGCGCACAAAGATGTATGGGTCAGGGCTAGAGGTGGTGCCGGAGTTGGAGCGAGGGGATGCACGACGCTACGACGAAGGCTCCGGTACACGGAGGACGAGGGAAAGTAAATGAGAGTTCGTTCCCGCTCCCCCAGAGACTGAGCACCGGTGTCGTTGGGCAAGGTCCGCCGTAAAACCGAAGCACGGAATGGATTATGCGTGGAGGAACAGCACCAGCAGCAATCGCAGCAGCACCAGCGGCAGCACGCTAGCAGGAGAAACAACCGACAAAACGTTTTTGCAAGCGATAACAGCAACGCGGACCCTCCTTACCTCGGCGTGAGATACGTTACGCTTGGCTTCCTTGGTCGACGAGGACGATAGCACCTCCAGGGCCGCCAGTTTCGCCGCTTTCATGTAGCGCTCCAGTTCTGCGAGGTGCCCCACGAGACGAAGATGTTGTCAACGAGAAGGTACGGTGCGGTTGAACCGGCCAATTTTTCGTTGTAAATCTCTTTTCAGCGGCAGCTATGCGAAGCGTCAGGCATAGTCACGCCGGGCGAAATTGCACTCAGGGGCTCTTCACTTCATGCATGCTGCAGCACCAGCTTTTAAGAAAGAACTGCCAACGAAAAGGATGGGGATATCAAATTGAGCGTATCGGGGGAAAACGAATCCGCGAGCGCCAACCGTCAACGAAATCGGGCACCGACGTGTTGCGTAATGCTCGGCACGATGACTGAGACACCAACCAAGCGTTTTAGCCTCCGTCTCACCGTCTAGTCCCGTGGCCTTGCGAGCGCGCACAGCCTTGTAGGGGCCCTTGTGCTTCTTCGCCGGCCCCGCAGGTTGGGGCTTGCTCTGCCTCTTGGCGATCAGTGCCGCCGCCGCCCTCGCTATTCCGGCGGCGGCAACCATTGTACCCCCGCCGCCGTCGCTGCCGCCGCCGCTGCCGCCGCCCACGCCGCGGTTACTACACCTTCGAAGCTTTTTCAGAACGCCTCCTTCCCTGTTGTCGAAACCGTTAACGTAGCCGTTGCCGCGGTCGCCGGAGCGTTCGGGCCTGTTGTCGCCACCTCCGTATTTCTTGTCGTGACCACCACCACCACCACCGCTGCTGTGTTTCTTAAGCTTCTTGTGCTTGTCTTCTTTCTTCTTTCTCTTCTTCCTGTTGCTCCCGTCGGCGTTCTTCCTCCTTTTCTTGATCCCCCTCCTGTCAGACGCAGCAGCAGCAGCAGCAGCTGCCGCACCTCTTGCGTTGCTGTCATCGTCGTCGTCGTCGTCGTCTTCGTCGTCACCAGCGTCGTGGTTCACGCCGTCGTTGTTCCCGCCGTCGTACTCTATGCTGTTGTTGTTGCTGCTGCTGTTGTTCTTGTCGGCTTCCCGCTCAGGAGACATGTTAAGAGCGGTGGGTTGTAGGAGGCCCTCGAGGAAGCGGTGGTCCAGTTGGTCGATATCGATGGCCGGGAGGCTGCTGCGCTGGGGAGGACCGGACACCTCGCGGCTCAACGTACGAACATTCCTCCGCATCGAGGAGTACCTGGGCATTTTTTTTTCGGCGGGGGGAGGGGGGAGCGGTTCCCGTTTGGCGATGGTGATGGGGGGCGGTCGGTATTCTTACTGTACGGCTGCCTGTTGATTGATCTTGAAAAAAATTTGTTGCTATTATTCGCAGTCTTGATCGCAGGCATGGTGTCCGCCTCCGTTTCCTTTGCGAGACAAATCTAATTTTGGTTGTGCGGAAGTTTGGTCCGACAGGTAGAATGTGATTGTTGCACTCCAGCCACTTCTGAGTTATTCGACGTGAAGATTACCAGGTATTTCGGCACACGAAAAAGAAGATAGCGCAGCCAAAAAAAAAGTGCAATGGCACCTGGCACGGAGTACCTGCCAATCTTATTCGTTGGGCAGCGCACAACATCATAAGAGTAGGGTGAAATGTCGTTTTTTCTGTGGCAATAAACAAGCATCTATTTTGTCGTCTCTTCTCACCAGAAGTTTTTGACCTGGTTGTCCGTCCTTCCCGGGAGGCGCTTGGCTATCTCGGACCAGCGGTTACCGATCTCGGCCCTGGTCTTGGTGATCAAGGCTTCCTCTTCGGGGGTCCACGTTCCCTTTTTGATGCTGGGGTCTGCAACAACCACGTTGAGAAAAAAAACAGAAAAAAAATACGGGCGTTTTCCTGTATCAGATTGGTACCGCTCTGTCGGGCTACAAACATAATATCTTGCTCTTGTTCTCCGTGCTTGGGGGGGAGGCTTTTTTGAGTCGAGCCCAAAATGTGTTCGAAGATCGCGGGTGTTGGGTCGAGAGGTTGCGGTTGTGCTTCCTTCGGATACTTGGCAACAAATGGACAATAGCATTTGACGGTATTTTTTTTCGTCCCGAGGCCATCAGTTTTATCGGCCAAACGCGCAAAGGGAGGCCTGGACATCCCTGTGGGCGCACCCGCTCCCAAAGTGCTAGTCGTTTCCATTTCCCGCTTGGTTCATCCGATGTTGTGCATGAAACTTACCCACAAACGCGATGAGGGCGGAGTGCGATCCAGTCACTTATATTTTGCTTTGGGCTTCGCTTTACATGATCAGCTTGGAGATCGAGGAAGGAGCATACGCCTGACACGCTCATCTAGTAGTTACCGTGACACATCGTTGGATGAGCCCCGAGTACCCGGGAAACAGGCTTTCGTAAGGCCGTCGTAACCGCGAGCCTGGTCATGGCGCGCCATAAAAGCTTGGGTCATGAAAAAATATTCCAGCCCCCCCATCACCAATATTCTTGATACCGCAAACAAATACAGAGGCCCGCCTGATAGTCATATCTCGTCAATATATATCAACATGGTTAGAGCAAAAACCAGCAGAAAAAAAGTACAAACCTAGGTGGTTGTGCCACCGCTCTCTGCACTGTTTTCCCGAGCGTCCGACGATGGAATAGTCAGCGGCCAGGTGCTCCTCGATGGTGGCCCAGCTACGCGTCCCGTGCCTCTTGACGAGCACCCGGATGGCGTCGTCCTCCTCCCTCGACCACACGCGCCGGCTGTAACGGCAACAGCACCACCGTCATCCATCCAAACGCATGTTTCAATGCTTCATCAGGTGTTCAGCACGCTTTTCGTGCAACCTGCATATTTATTCGCTTCTACGAATACGTTGATTATGCTCTAACTCTACAGACAACGAAGCACTTCCGTTTTACTTTATTTGCCTACTACTCCGCGAGCAAATAAAATCACAGCAGTAATATTTTTTGGTAATGCTATTGACCTGCGGCTATGTTATATTTTCGTGGACATTTTCATGAACCTTGGGTCTGCGCTGACGTGTAGACGGTGTCAATATTGTAGTATCTGGTGAGAACGGGGCACGTTGAATAGGCTCGACCACCGCATCCACATGATTTTTTTCCAGCAGGTACCAGCATGATATGTAGTAATCAAATCGTTACCAACATCTCTTCTTCGTTTTGTCTTGTCGATACCTCACGGCGCACTAATGGTAGAGCAGTTACATTTTCAGTTGGTTTCTTTTAACGACTTCATGCTCAAGGTTGCACAAGAGAAACACGACTCCTCTCGCAGCCAGGACAAGATTTTGTGCCGTGAGGGTTGGCGAACGGCCGGCTTCCTACTAAACCTGGGACAACGTCCAAAGGAAAACAATTCGAGGGAAACCCATCCTGTATACACGAGCGCGTCGAAAATCGAAGCATAGTCTAAACATAACCGTCCACAAAAAGATATTATTTTATCGCACCGCATCTCCCAAGTTAAAAACAACTGCAAAACAATGAGGCGAGAGAGTTGTTGGACAACACACAGGATGCGTACGAACATGAAGGACGGCGACCCAGAGGGCCGGGTATCAATAAGTATGCTTCTCACTTCTCACTCCGGCGAGATTCGCTAACGATGCTGTTGTCCAAAACCATGTTCGACAGGGGAGGTGGTAGGTCGTGGTTCCGAGCTGCCGTACCATCTCCAGCAGCAGCAGCAGGGGGTAGCTGCCGGGGAACGCGTGCGGGCAGTGATCCCAAGCCAGCCGCGACTGGTGGGACGGCAGTGCTGTCCACGACAAGGGCCGGCTCGTCCGACGATGACCCCTCCCCACCGTCCTCCTCCTCCTCCTCCTCCTCCTCCTCATCGGCAGAAGGGGTGTTAGATGCAGCGGCGGCGCCAGCTGCAGCAGCAGCCGCCTGCGCCGCCGCCGCTGCCCTCGCCTCGGGAGGCACGGCGGGATCGGGTCCGTCCTCGAAATCCGGGGGCTGCTCTTTCACCACGGCCAGCGGCAGAGCCCGTACGAACGCAGACGCCCCGCTCTCGTCCATCGTTGCTGCTGCCGCTGTGATCTGGTTTCAAGGAAACCTCCTTGAGTGTGTGCTCGCGAGGAAACAGCAGTTGCGCTCTTTACCCGCTCGTTTTTTTTTCGAGTGGCGCGCGTGGAGTATGTGTGTGTGTGGAGTATGTGTGTGTGTTCTCACTCGTTCACCGTTTCTCCCTCGCCAGTCTCTGTACGTCCCTAGGTTGCGTCAAGAACTTGAAACGCCTCGGACACGCGAGAAAGATCGCCGGCTAGATGTCAATAGGAGAGTACTTGAAGGCGTCCGATCTTCAGCTGCCTTGAGCCGTGCTGGGTTTGCAAGACCGCTCTTGATGGTGCAAATGAGATGTAGTGTTGGCAAGTTTCACGTACACACCCCACATCGAAGTCCCGCCGCATTTTGCAACCGTTTCGAAAAAAAAGAAGGTGAATCTCCGGAGAGAACACGTGAAACGCTAACGAAGAGACCACCAGTAGCCGATCTTCGATGGATCGTTGTGCGACACTAGTTACACACGACACAACTGATGTTTGCTTGAGCGCGTAACGCAGACACTGGGGATTGGAAGGGTTGCAAGAGTTTGGACACCCTGTATGATACGAAGATTTGTGATGATAGGATAACGTGTCTACAGCAGTAGACCACACATCTGTGTTTACAGAAAAATACTGCTCCCGTTCGCTACTCACTTCAATCAAGCTCATCATTGGTTTGGATAATAGACTGCAATTATTGTCGTTCGTCCTTTTTGTTCAGTCGGGTTGCTGTGCATGGTGTACGGCCCGACAGCAATTATCACAGGCTTCGGAACGGTGTAGGAGCAGGACAGCATCGAGAATATGTGCACAGCATTGATAGCAGTGCTCTCAACCGGCCACCTCATCTGACGTGCAGTATCTCCGTGAAAGCCGTCATTGGGCGCCGCCTCGCCGGCAAACGTGGGCCTGGTCGGAACAGCACACACAGGTTTCGGTGTAGCCTCCTTGGCCTATTCTAATGGGGTGTCAAAGTACGTTGCACGAAAGTAAGCGTATTTCCGCAACATCGTACAGAACAATGCCGCCCAACAAGAAACACCTAGACTCACCTATCGAAACAGGTTATTTTTTGCAGATCTATTGTCCGTTCGGGCAAATATTCACAATATTTTCCCCTGCACAAAGGTGCACTTTTCTCGGGGTGGGGGTACTTATTCCGAAATCTGAAAATACCGCGTAAATCGACGTTTCAAGGCGCATCTTCATACGGAGATTTTTTTTTTTTTTTCGTCCTTTGCTCGATATGTTCAGATATTCAAGAAATCTTGCTAACTTTCTGGAGGGCGGTGTTTTTTGCAGACACAAAATCTGAGACCGGATTTGGACAGCTCTCGTGATTTGCCACCGACGATTTTTTTCCAATTTCCAATTTGAAAAAATAACGGAGTTATGGGCAAAAAAACGGATATTGGAGGGTATTTTGCTTAGTTTCTTGGGGACAATCCAACCGTAAGATTCAAAAATAAAGTGCTGCAATCGATTCCTCTCGTGATTTATTTCCCACCGATGATTTTTTTCCGATTTCACAAAAAAACTCGGGTTTCGGAGATATTTCGGGTGGTTTCACACGCCCTCGGGGAA